TATGTCGAGCGGCCGTCCGAGCTGCGAGCTGACCGGTGTTGCCAGCGGCCATTCTTCACGGTGACACGCTGGTAGGCGGTCCGACATTCCCTGGCAGGCCGGCGGACCGACCGGTGCCGCGGCAGTGAGACTGGGGAGGGGTCTCACGCGCCGCGCGGAGTCCGGAGGCCACATACTCCGGAGCGGGCCGCTCGATCGGAGAGGCCCCGATGGGTGACGGACCCGGGCTGACCAAACCAGTGTTCACAGTGTAGTGGTCAGACAGGCAGACTCTGGCACCCGCTCCGGCAGGCCGCAGACGCCGGCGGCTCGGCCGCGTGCCACGCACGTTCGGGGAGCGAGGAGCGGTGCCACCGTCCGGGCGCGGCACAAGGTCACGGCCGCCCGGTCACGGTTCGGTGGCCTGCGACAGGTGCCGGTCGGATCCGCCACCGAGGCAGCGCGCCTGTTGTGACGATAGGACTGCGGTGGCGATATCAGAAACTGCCGTTCAGCAGGCCATCTCTCGTAAAGAAGTTTTTGTCAGATAGGGAACACTCAGACTTAATTTAAAGCAGCTTGACACACCAACTAATTGGTATACCGAGCTGGTTCATCGTTATTCGGTGCAGACAAGTCTGACAAGCCAATGAGTCACTAGCATTGAGTGTTTCCAGGCCTGTCTTACATCATCTTCGGAAAAGGATTTGGGGATGACCAGGTATATAGGCGCTTAGACTCAGGCAACGAGCGAGTCGGTCGGCGGGGTCAATATCATTCCCGTCAACATGAAGCGAGCTGCGAAGGGACGGGCGTGAGGGGCGCGCAGCTCCACCGCAGCCGGCCCCTGACAGACGCATCCCGACTGCTGGTATTCTAATCCTGGCGTCATTGACATTCGATCGGAGCCGGCCTGACCGCCGGCAGTGCCATGTTAGTACGTTGGACCCGTGCAGCAGGTTCTCAGTAGACGGTTGTCAGCGCGTGTGTCTGCTCATCTCGCATCAGGCTAGTCAGTCGGGCTGATGTAGCGTGCGACCGTATCTGGTATCAAACACCTCTCAATCCCATGAGGTAGATAGTTTGACAAGGAAACAATCAGCCTGAGGATACAACAACACCATCGAGTCGAAAATCGGCCCAACACGACACCAGAGAAGAATATGCCCTCATACAGGACGGGCTGCAATCGTGCTAGCGTCTATCGTCGCTTAGAGCCGATCGTTGCAAGTGCACAACACAGCCACCAGCTACCTGAGGAGGCTATCTCATCGCGACTCAGGGCGGCGGGCGGCATCTATGCGATAGTCGCCTGATGGTCATAGCCCACAGACTCTCACCACGGCACGGTCTCAGATAGGACGGCGGCGCCGCGACACCCAAAGCCACGCGGAACCGGCAGCGGTCGCGCTACGACCGGCTTCCGGTCGCGGCCAGCTGACTGGACCGGCGCAGACGACGGCGTTCGACCTTGGCGTGGCGCTCGGTGGTGGCATGACCGGCACCGGGTCGGCCGGACAGTTCAAAGTCCAACTGGATAGGTGTTGGTTCAACGGACTCAGCGACCCAGAACGGGTCGTCGATTCACAGGTCGTGGCCCAGTGTGGGAAAAGTGGGATGGATTTGGCCTTGAAGCTATCAGAGACGGAACAGCCTGATCTGAAGTCTGATCAATCATTACATCAAAAGAAACCAGCCCCAGCAGCCGTCTAAAGCTTGCCATTCACCACAGCCCATCGACTGACCTCTGTCTGGCAGCTCAGCTCCGCGCAGATCCGGGCCACCGACACACCGTTCGCCGTCCGATCGAGGAACAGTCACTCCTCCGTCCTCCTCAGTCCTCACCTCAACACCAGCGGCTCAGCACTGCCGGACGCCAGCCTCACCCGCCGCCGCCGCCCACTGTGCGCATGCGCCCCCTGGCGAGACGGCCGGCGGAGGAGCCGAGCCGATACGGACGCCAACTCGAATGTTTGCAATGAACGAATCGAGATATCTGCACTCTGCAGTCACATGAGCCTCAGCGTATCGATAAATACCGCGCTAGAATGACTGCCAGTCGCGATTTGTGTCATATGAACCGGTAGACGGCGATAGAATTTACTGACTTTGCACAGTGGTCGCAGTGACACGGATGCCTACTGGCAGGTTGGGAGAGGATATGCCAGGCCCAGTGTTGTAATAACTTGAGTTGACAATGATTACATAATCCAGTCACATCTACCCAAAGTGACCAGCCGGCCCATCTACCTCGAGCGTCACAGAATCTGTACCTTTATATAAAGTGATGGAAAACGAGGCACATATCAGCGAGCTGTAATGGACAGGATAACTGAGCGATTCGCCAAAGTATAGAACCCAACAATAACCAATTTCTGTGACGGTCTGATTGCAATAGCAGGGAAATAAAACGAGCCCAATCAGCTCATCCAGTCAGCATCGGCCCAAACGCCGTCGCTCACAAGCTGCACCAGCAACAGCAGATATGCGCCTGACGGGGATAAAAAGTGTTGGCTGGGCGGAGGGTCGGCCGGCTCGTTCCAAACGGCGGGGGAATTCGACCTGGCGCTAACACGTGCCAATTGGAAGGCCGTCAACGCGTCGAACAGTGCCACGGGCTAATGAGTCAGTTGGGCGGAGGGCGATCGTAGGGGAGACGGGCACGGCTGACGCGCCGGTCGAGGGAGACAGGCAAAGAACTACGCGCGGTACCGAGGTCAAACGGAGTGGTACTTGGGAAAGACGTCATGACGGACAGATAGCAGATACAGCAGTCGATCCATCTTAGTGGAAGCTGGGGAAGTTGTGAGTTTAGCCAGGAGAGTTGTGAGTTACCACCATCACCTCCTGTCACGACTGTTTTGCTCGTCGCTAGAACCGAGTCAGAAGTGACAGCCGCTCCCGCAGAACTTTGAGACGCTCGACTGACATCGACCGGTCCTCACGTATTTGTTCTGGGACACACTACGCGGTGCATGTCCAGGTCGGCGACGGCGCGACGACGCGGTACAAAATCCTGCGAGTCACCACTCATCTGCCATGACGGGCGGAATACGGGAGAGAACCGACCGTAGCCCAAACGCAGTTCAAGAGGACCGACCGGGCCCATGGAGAGTGCAGGAGGACCAACCAGATCCCCGACAGGACACATGATCGACCCGGGACGTGGAGCTCGGGTCCTGTTCGGGGGTATCGTGACATGCCCCGAGGACTTGCGACAAATAAAGCACACGCGGTTTGTGCAATGGTACTACCCGTCTACAACCGCTCCCTCAACGCTGTCGTTTCTCTAACGTCATCAGTTTATACCACGGCGAGGCGCATACACATGACCATGAGTAGCGCCGTGGTCTGTTGTTGGGGTTGGGGCCTAGGGCGGTAGCGTACTGCATCCAATAATGCTTTAGGGTATCGTTTTTGCTGGAGATCGATGAAGACCATGACCTGCTGTTTTTCTTACGAGTTTCTTTTTCATCAGCACCGATGCAAAGGTCGTGTCTTCCTCGATGCCAACATTTGTGTCATACACGGTAACGCATGATTATTGGAAACAAAAAATTAGACGAATAAAGACCGCACATTGCAGTTGTCACTGCTACTTTAACTTATCAGTGCGACAAAGGAATAACGTGATCACCGAATTCGGGGTTCAAGGCCGTTAGCACAAAGCTAAGCAGCACATAGATTCAGATTGTCAAAGTTCAGTCAAAGTTCCCTTATAAAGACAAAGTTCTAAGTCTAATTTAATCATCGTCTTTCTCCCCGCCAGCCCCGATTCTCATCCCTGCAGGAACAGCGTACCACCGGCGGCCTATGCATTTCCGGCAAACCGGCGCCTGAAAGGTTCGTGCAGCCAGCCGGCGCCTGCAGTTCCGCTGGCCCCAGTCATACCCTCAGAGACCCGGCTACAGAGCGAGAGTCCGTGACGTCATCAGGCTGACGAAACTATCCCTAGCTCAGAAACATAGAGCACACCATCACCGCCCCCGACAATATACACCCAGCCCCCGCAGCCACCGACGCTGCCAGCCTGCCTGCCATTAGGTATACGAGTATCTGCAGATACCGCTGTCGACCTCTTAGTGACAGAGCAGTGACGTAAGCTGTCGTTGCAAACACTATGTCTAGCGCGAGCACAAACTAAAATCCCAGGACGGACGACTAGAAGAGGTGGAACAAAAACGAAATGTATGTTGTGAAGGTGAATTTTCACTTCAACAAACGCGCTCGAAAGCCGCCGAGTGCAGACGTAAAACAATACGTAATGCGTTGGCTAATCAAGAAAACGACGCAAATCTTGGGAAGGAAAACTGATAGCTACCAAATAACAAAGGCAGAGGCGATACGTTATATTTCCTATATCAGTAAACAACATACGCCTCACCAAGGACTTAGAGTGGGTGCTTGATAGACTGATATTAGTCGAAACTAAGAGGGCTTTAGTCATCTGGCACCAAAGGCACCGTCGGTCATCAAGCGATAACATAAACACGCGGTAGCTGCGCCTAGGTCATAAGCATTTGTCGCTGATGGTAGGGACATGGCAGGCGGCCAGCCGATCGGTCAAAATTAGTCGGTAGACACAGCGGCTGGTGAGAGCCGACATAGCCCGACACCACCAGTCATAACCCCTACAAACTGCCAGGCGGCCGCCGCAACCGGTAAAAACACACAGTGCGAGAGAGATGATTCAACAGTCATTTATCACAGGCGAAAAAAAGCTATGAGAGCCACCAAAAGGCCCGCATTATGCGTAAAAATGCAGCCGCTTCCTTGCTGCACATTGAGGCCATTCTGCATGAAGAACGATCGATAACGTATTCGTATCGCCTGCGTCGCACTTTTAGGATTACCGTAAAATAAAAAGTGACGGCATAAGATAAGATGATTTTGGTACAATCGATATAGGTCACAACAAGCAACGAAAGAGGTCATGGATGTTGTAAGGGCGCAAGGGAAAAATAGCATTTATTATTGTTTACTTCGACAAACTTAGATGCGCCATGGGGAATTGCACTTACCTCAATGCAGAACTGTGCCACTAGCTCTTCCTGTCAGGTGCGTTGCCGACGAAGTTCCTCTTTCAGACAAACTGAAAAGACAATATTATTGCATTAATGCCACCTTAAAAACGAAGACTATGGGCTCCATCCTAATAAGTTTCATAAATATGTTTTATGTGCCCGCACAATGAGTTAAAGTAAGGATCCAGTGAAGCAACTAGCAAAACCTCGAATTTCCTAGTTACAGTCACAGAGATGCAGAATGCAGATCTTTCATTTATTTTGGCCCCATACCATATTATAAGATTTACGAGATCTGACCGTATTCATCACTGATCATCTCACCAAGCGAACAAAATGACGACCTGAATTGATCTCCTTGGAGTTTTCTTTTCTTTTCAAAACATCAGAATTTTTTGAAAACCACAGATAGCATCGTAAAAGTACATAACAGACAAACATTTTCCGGACATCTCACATCATAGACAAAAACTTCCATACATAACACGTTTTTTTTTTTGCCAAACACACAATGTGGTGGTAACCCAACCACACAGCCCCTCATCACCAAATCACAGTTCACTTTCCCCTCGTATCAATGCTCACGCAACGGCACCCAGTTCCTACCCACGCTCAAATGGAGCTCCGCAATCATAACTCCAAAAACGCACACCATCGTGAAAAAAGTAAACAAAAGTAAATAATCTCATTGGAGTTTGGTGGCGATCAGTGTCTTACAAACGGTCAGATCACAGTTTTACACACATTTTCATCTACGCAGTTTCTAACGCGACATATTCGTTGTCACATGCACATTTAGTAGTGGTATGATCCACACTCCACAGTGCCCACTCAGAGCGCAAATCTGGCTATCGCCGTAAGCGTCCTGCCATCTGGTGACGGGTTCGCAAGCTATTGCAGGTGGCGAAACGGTCGCCTCCAGTCACAAACTCCCGAAGAACGATGCTTTACGATGGTTCGCTGACCAACAGAGGCAGGCATCACGCACGGGCAAATGCAAATTGATGGCCTTCAGGCAGCTTTCATCACTAGAGAGCGACTGAATCCAATGTTCAATGAATTCTGATACACCCAACTCATTCAAAGATGTATATAACAATTAACATCCATATGAATTAGGTGACCAAAAAAGCTCATGTCAAACATCTAAAAAGGTTGGCGTTTCATGTAACAGAAAATTTATACCTATAACATCACAAAATGTTAACCATCCATATTTCAAGCAGTTGTTCAACAATGTTGATGCCTGAACAATTAATTAAATTCACTCAACAAGTCACATAAAGTAACTTAATTCATAATGCACAAATAAACTCCAATCAACAACCCATCAACATCCGGCTCTCTTTCATCAAGTTTGGTCATGGGCCACTTGCACATGTAGATCCTCATCCTCATCCATCCAGCACAATAATGGGAATGATTCTGATTCTCTCAGAAACTATAGCAAAATAAAATGCTTAATAATTTCATTAAACTGAAGAATACCAGCTGTCCTGTTCACTCTCTAGTCTTCATTTGACCTATAGGTAGTTTAAAATTTGTCAATGTGGTAATGACTGATGGCTGAAGTGATGGGTGTGAACTGTGAGAATCCCCATTAAAGGAAATAGTTCACTTTTAACATGGGGTTTTGAACTGGAATAGCAGTTTCGTAGCTTGAGCTGAGACTAGCACAAATCAGGAGCTTTTACGGCTCAATGATCACCCTAGACGAAGATATTCCATTTCTCGTTCCGAAAGAGTGCCTTGCAGAGGAATGTGTGCCTTGCACAGGAATGCAGCCACGTCAGCGTCAGCCAATCAGCATGCTGCTTACAGCCAATGCAGTATGCGTAGGTTTGAACTACGCGATATGATTGGTCAACGCGTAATAAGCTTCCGCGTCAAACATTATTTTACGTAGAATATAGTTCGTCCTATATTAAAATATAGAAAAAAATGTTTTTATAAAAAGGTTTTATTTTATTTCATGATCATTTTGAGCATAAAAAATCATAAATCAATAGCAAAATACTAATTTCAGGAAAGTGAACTGTTTCCTTTAAAAGAAAATGGCAGAGTAGGTGGCAATTCCAACACTGTCTGTGTCTCCAAAGTATGAACCTAAGGGTAGATCTACTCACACTGGTTGGGACAGGGAAAACAACTTTTAAATAGGTACCTAGCTTTTCTCATAGAGTAATGCACTTTTAGACATGAACTCAGAAGTCTAACTAGACCTGCTCTTACCTAGGACTAAGAGATCTCAAAGGGAAAAATTAAGAACTGTGAGCAGATTCCTATGTATTGCAAAACATAAGAACTTCCTTAATAAAAAACTCTACAATTTTTTTCCTTAGTGTGGTTGGATTCAGCAGAAGGGGCAACTGCACCAAATTTCTCTCCTCTGTACACCTGCGGGCTGCCGGTGGCAATGGCAGTAGTACCTACATAATAGATGGTCACACTAAACCCTGGAGGATCGTGTCATGTATCATCATTAACCTCATTTTTATCTAGGCTCACAATCTTGAAGGGGAAGGGGAGCCTGACGGCTTGCCGTGCAGCTGTGCAAACTGCAATTGGTCCATAATTAAGAGGTATTGTAAAGTAAGCTTCATTTAAAAGCTCCTTGAAACAATGAACTTGCCATTTGAACTTCAAACTGACCCATTGTCATCATCAGGACCAAAATTGTGCAAAATTTTGTCTTTTTACTCGTAAGCAATCAATACCTCTATGAAATGTTATAAGAATACCGAAAGGTTGAAAAACAAAAACAAGTTTAAACAAGGCAGGTAGGTAGGTACCTGTTTCAAATTGATTCGATCAAAGTTCGGACAGCAGACTACAGGACATCTATTAATATCTTTCAGCAATAAAGCATTTGTAAATAAACAATTAAATTATCAAACTCATGGGATTTCGAATTTCAATGCTGATGCTGATGCAGATTGAATGTTTGTGTTCCTCTTCTTGGTGGAGATAAGGGATTCAATGTTGATACAGCCTTAAATGTAGATGCAGGTAACAATAGAATACGTACCAAGATGGAAATGATCAAGGCGATCAACATGGCCCTATTGATATAATACCGAAATAATTAAAAATTGCACAAATTCCACCGTGCCAAGGCAGTACCGCCATTGGCTAAAACGGCTAAAACAATGATTTTCGCGAACAGATGAAAGAACATGACACATAAATGTCTTACGCGTCTGACTAAAGAAATTGCGCACATGAGACAATCAATTATCCTGCTGTCAGCATTCACGGGCAGTGATCGCAATTTTTCATTGGTCCTTCAGTCTGATAACGTTTTTGCGTTTTTGGAGAAGTTTTTCGCTCGAAGCATTTTCGGGGTATTTGGAGATTGCAACACCAAGCGTCATTGGTAGGTAGCACGGATCAGGAGATTCGTGAATAGTTATCTGCTGCTAGTTTGGCGGACATGGTTCAAATCTACCAAGGCTATGACCAAGGCCTATATACGGCCTTGGTTCAAATGGCCTCCTCCGGCATGCATATTGTTATCCCCACCGAGACTTTGGTCGGTGTTTCAAAACAGTTCAAGTTGCGTTAATCGTAAAATGAGACTAATGTGCCCATCATGGGCATAATTAAGATAGCCCTTTTAGAAGTAACAGGACCAAATGCCCCTGCTGTCCTCAGTTCCCTGTCCCGTGTCCACCTTTCGCGCCAGTGTCGCCAGTCAAAAGACAATAATTCAATCATTGTGGTCATCACTCAACACCATCAACCAGCGCCACAATGAGCGTACGTGGTTAGCGTGAGAACGAGTTTAGCAGCCGAACTGAGTTGGAGATGAATGGTATTCAGGGCTGAAAAGACGAAGCACACATAGTAAGTATGATGCTAGCGAAATCTATTAACACCCCAGTAGGCCATTGATGAACATTCACGCATAAGCAAAAACACACGATACCACAATAGTGATGTAGCCGAAGGGAAGCTCACCTCACATTGAGACTACGTGACACTTGCATTGCGATGGTTAAAGCGCTGATTACATGACATTTACCACACGACATTCAATACCTAGTCGCAAATTAAATGTGTCAAATACAGCACTTATATATTATTCCATAGAGTGAATGTACTACCGTTAAGTGATCGATAATGAGTGCCGAAAACCTCTAAGGTGGGTAATAAAATCCAAACTATGACTTAAACCCGACCGAACAGACGCTGAAAGACCTCTTGGACGAAAACCCTATGACAATCGGCGGTAAGGTGCGGACTTTGACCGCTTAGTTCCACAGTTTGACATTTTTCAGATTGGACAGTACCTATTGAACCCCGTATCATAAAGCACGGGTCACATGTAAACGATGATTTATCCGCAGTGCTATGGTAACCTCTCACGGCAAACAGGCTGTGAGCCATACCCGGCTACATCGCGAATCGTCCACACCCGCGTACACGCCACAGCTCACAGTGCTCGGCCACAGGTGAATGAAAGTCCAGGCGCACAGTGACAGGCGCAAACCCAGCGCGCAGGCGTCCAGTGTGGTTCACAGAACTTCGCTTCGAATGGCACGCTTTTGCGTAGTCTCGTACCAGACACTTTGGAAAAACGTTAACTTATGTTCGTTACTTATGAGCTGTGCAAAGGAGTCGATTAGAGCCCTGCGCGGTCAGTGCCATACAAGATCGATTGGAAGCAATACCTCTCCTTTAGCTAACACAATGAGTCAAACTTGTCTTGCCAATTGCTGAAGTCTATTTTTGTTGTATACTGGAGATTTCGGAGCGCCTACTAGTGATCATTTTGCACACATGGAGACGTTTATAAGAATTCCACGTCGATTTATCGTCATTTGGAGCTCAACAGATTTCGGCATTATTGTTCCTTTCCTTTTGGACGTAAAGTTCAATAATTAATCGAGGACCTTTCGATAGCACGTCACGAATTCAAATTTCATCCCTTTCTCTAGAATGAAAGCCTGGAGCATGTCCAACTGCATTCAGATGAGCTAGAATACGCTTTTTACTTTTTTAGGTAATGGTTTGATCTACAAAGTTCATAACTGAGATGACCTGGTGAACCTGAGCCCCTTCCACGACGCTGTCACGCGTTTTGTTGGACCACCGACCGCGCAGGGCTATCATCAACTTGCCGAGGCAACTCCTAAATTTCCCTTACCACCAAACCTAACACCCCACAGTTCGTTAGCCCACCACACTGGACCTGCCGCCGCCGGACCCCCGGTCACGTCCCTAACTACCCGTCCTACCAGCCCCGCTCCCGGGCGCCGGTCAGCTGTCGCGCAGCAGCTCGGGCCGCTCGCGGAGCACGCGCTGCCGGTGCTCGGCGCTGAGCACAGCCGCCAGCACGGGCGCCACCTGGCGGTCCACGTCCTGGCGCCAGCGGCGCAGCCGGTCCCGCTGACGCTGCTGGTCCAGCAGGTCGCTGGCGATCGCCCGGTCGTAGTCGGGAGCCGCGTGAACGGTGGCCAGCCGGTCACCAGAGAGAAATCGTACCTGTGGACAAAGCAAGGATGGGTGGAGGTTAGATGTCAGATATGGAGCGAGAAAGGGAAAAATATGGATTTTACGTAGACTGTCACGCATATAACAAGTTGCCAACTACATCTGTTGCTACAGCCATGGTGACCACCCCTGGCAAGCACAAATAACAAACATGAAACCTTACAATAATAAGAGCTCAACAACTTACTAAACTAGTATGTTTTCCCAGCTCCAAAGGTTACTCCAGTAAAAACATAACAGTGAGCCGCCTCCATCACCAATCGAGCCGCCGACGCGCTACCTACCCTGGCCTCTCTGTTGGGCTGTCGGGGCGGCGCGGCGCACCAGTCCACCAGCTGCCGGTTGGCCTCTGCGATCCTCTGGTGCAGCGTGCACGTGCCGCCCGGAGAGCTGTGGCACGGTTCACACTCGTCGTCGCTGAGCTCGTCGTCGCTCGAGTCTTCCGGCTCGCTGTCACTGGGGTCTGTCTCGGCCGAGAGACCTGAGTCCACCTGATCGGCGGCCGTGGGACCAAACACTGCCGGAGAGAGGGGTCATAATGTCAGACAGTACTGCCGGCACCGTCAGATATTGGAGATAATTCCCCGGTACTGTCAGATACTATCAGATACTTCCAGTGCTGTTAGTTGCCGTAGATGTCAGCAAGGCACTGTAGATCTACAGTCAGGGGGAGGATTTATCATTATGATGGGAGGTAGATTATTTAATTGGCATCGCCAGGCACTGGGGGGAGAGTCTGGCATTGTCGGAAAACGGATTGTGAAACTGTGAATATGACATACTGCGCAAAACACTAGCTGGACAGGCAGCGCTTGCTAGTCGATGTAGATAACATAAGTAAGCGAAAATGCTATGCGCGTCATTTTAACAACACTAGAGCCTTCCCTACACGCAAAACGCTGGAGCGCGTCCACCTAAGTACAATAGCAGGGAAAACAGCACTGGGGCACAGTTCGCCACCAGCATGAGCGCAACCAGTGCTGTCGAAACAGCTCGTGTGACCACGGTCGTGTGGTATTGCGGAAACAAGATAAACGGGACAAACAAAGGCAGCCATGACTTACAACATGACGAAAGACTGAGACACTTCTTTGACATCTTTTCTCATGGTAAATAAACGCATGAAAATGTGACCGATAAGTAAACACTGAAACATAGCGCAGGACATAAAACCATGGCTAAAGCGACTGATTTTTGGCCCGACGTCAGGCTCTCGGCGAAGCCATCGCAGCACCGCACTGATGCTCGACACTCCCAGGTTACAGTAAGACATGTATAATGTGCTGTGTTGCCATGCTATGAACATGACTAAGTACATCTAAGTATAATGTGCTGTGTTGCCATGCTATGAACATGACTAAACAAACTGATCGTAATGTGTCGGTTTTATGGACCCCTCCCCTTCCCCCGATTGCATTGGTCATCGGCGAGGAAAACATGGGAAACATGCAGTGAGTCGTTGAATAAACGTGACTGATAACAGCGATGTTACTACTATGCGATACTGATAGAGGTAAGGTGCTGCAGCTAGAGGCACCAGACCCACAAGAAAAATATCAGCAATTGCGTGAAAAAGGGTAAAAAGAAGGCCTTAAGACAACGATATGTTTCGGAGTTGGCAGATAAACAAGCCGTGTCACTCCACAGACACACGTAACGAAACATTTATATAATTTTTCAAGACAGCCATGGATCGTAAATCGGTAGAGCGAAGCCAAGCTAGTAAGTGAGTGCGTAAGCATAGGAGACTATAGCAATTCCAATAATTCGTGCGTTTTTGGCGCATAATCAGTTTGAAAAAGAGAAGCGGTAGGATTATACGGGAGGCATTAAATCACAGACCACTGCAAAAGTATATGGTTAGCATAGATACATAGGTCTTTACTGAATGTGTCACAAAAGATGGCTATGAAAAATCAAAAGGATTAAAATAGACCGGGCGAAAATGGTACTAGTAAATAACACATTCACGCAGAATGCTTATAAAGTACATACACAATCTCATTTGATCGTCACCAAGTGTACAGACCGCATCGGGCGCACTCACCTGGCGTTCGAGGCGGCGCTGGCTCCGGCGCCCCACGCGGTTCGTCATCAGCGTCATCGGCGAACATAATGAAGTCATCGCCCGAGTCGACCGAGCTACTGGGCAGAAAGGTGGCCGCCGACGCGTCCCACTCCTCGTCACCGAGCGTCGAGTCGTCGTCGCTCGACTCACTGCTCGAGTCGTCACTGGACTCAGAGTTGGCTGAAAGAGAGGACGACGAGCGGCAGCTCCGCCACCGGGCGGGGCTGGTCGCCGCCGGCGTGGAGGGCTCCGACGGTACGTCCATATCGGAGGATGCTGATGATGAGGGCTGTCGCGAGATCACAGTGGTAGCCGCCGGGGGAGGACAGCACGCCCGGTCTCTCGGCAGCGGCTCGGTGGGACTGGGACGCCGCAGTTTCGTCGAGTCACTGCACTGGACCGGCGAGGGGACCCGGTTCGCCAGAGCACTGGCGGCATGGATGGAGATGGAACAAATGTCGCGGATCGTGTTCGGCATATCAGCCGGTAAGGGCCGGTCACCGTTCGGCAATGAGTTCACCTTGCGAAACAGTCGCGTGTTCGAGTCACTGGCGGGTATATCACAGCTGGTGGACGGCAGCGGCGGCGGCTGCTCGGTCTTCTGCGCGGGCGCGGCGGTCTCCTGGCCCGTCTGCTCCCCAGTCTCCCGGCACTGACCGGCCGGTGGAGAGCAGTGAGGGTGGATGGCCGAGCCGGCCGCCGCCTCCGCCCGCGGCCCGGTCACGGCACACCGACTCGCCGGCTGCCGGTCGGCCTTGGCCGGCTTCCCGTTCAGGGTGCTACTGTTGGTCACGGTCACCGGTCCGCCGCCGTTCACGTGAGCGGGCCGCGCTCCCCACCGGCCGCCCCGTGAACGGTACAGCCACGGATACTTTCTCGGTCCCGCCGGCGGCGGCGGTGGGTAATCCAGCGGCCACATCGGCACTCTGCACCCAAATGCCTGCATTGGAAACGAGTGAGCGGCGAGCCGGTGGCCGTCGCTCCAGAGCAGCGAGCCGCTGCCCAGCTCGACCGGCTGACGAGGGAAGAACTCCTCGGCGTCCGGGTTCAGGCGCGGGTCGTGGTCCGTGTGACAGTAGCCGCAGCTCCTCATGTTCCGCTCGGAGGGGATACACTTCAGCTGCAGACTTGACAACGGCTTCGCGATGCTGATACTTTGCGTTACAGACATTAACTTTTCTTTCATTTGCCATCCACTTGTTACAACCAGCATAAACCCTCATTCGGATACTGAAAAAGAAGGAACAATGTAAATATCAACAATATTAGTTCATTGGTGATGATAAGAATGGTTTGCCTTCTATGGCCCCAAGATTCTGGTGGTTCTTGACAGGCGAGTGATGTGATGAGTGATAGCTATAGCCTTTTAATTTTGACATGTTGAGTGGCAACTGATGACCATAACTCACTCCTCTCAACAGAAAAAGTGCCAGTGTTCTTTCACCTCATCCATCATAAGCTTGAAAAGATCATTAATCAATAATTTTGTCAATAAAATGTAGGTGATTAATAGTCTGCTGATTGATCCTGGCATATCTATTCAGTTGATCCTCATAGATATGCTCATTGAAAAAAAAAACATGAACAGGTGATGAAATAAAAACATAAGATATTGGTAATTAGAAATTACACATAACTTGGTTATTTGGTAAGTAGGTACCTAGATCACATATGGTGTATACTATTACATTTCACCTCATCTGGTAAGGGAATGGCCAACCTTATCTGCATGAAAACACAAAATCTAAATACTGTCTTATCTCCATAGAGGCATTAAATCTGCCCAGCTGACATATTAAGTTCAGTCAACTATTTAGATATGTTAGACCAAAAACCAGTCTCCGTCACTCTCTGCCACACCTCACAAAAAATGTAGCTTGAAAGGGCATGCTAATTCAATTATAAGGCATACGGCATACATAAAAAAAATCAAACATAGCCTGATCTAGCAGCACTGAGCACCTACTGTACACCAACCAAACAACTATCCTCTGGTCTAATGCACAAGAAGGGTGAACAAATTGGTAGTCATAAAGCAGGTAGTGTCACACTTTTGTTTTTGCAACCAAGAAGAGGTGCTATGCCCGGAGATAGAGGTTGTATAGTTTGTAGGTTTTCGGTTGTAGGTTTTAGGTAAGGTTAGTTTAGGTTAGTTTTGTGGCTGGGAAGAAGCATCTCTGGATCTAGCACCTCTCCTTGGTTGCAAAGGCAGGTGTGATGCCTACTTTATGACTGCCAAAAATCCATTAAAACTATTTTAACAAATTTGATGGATGATTCTTAATACTGTTTGATCAACATTGATTGTCAGTGTTACCAAATGTGAAGTTTCTTCTCAGTGGTGAGCTTCATAGTAAGTATAGTTGAACAATGAGAGGCCAAGCAATGCAAATAACTGATGTCTGACACTCATATTTCGTACGTGAAAACTTGCAGCATGGGGCATCCCGATTAAGCTGAAACTTAACAGCGCTTTTGAGCTTCGGACCTATCCCTTGAAAACATCAAGTAAGCTTGGCAGATTTCCGAAAGAAAAAGTAAAACTGTCATAACTTCTGTACCAGTACAAAGAGGAACCAGCATTCTTATAGCACGCGTCTCACATGCTGCCACCCGTTTATGAAAAGTCTCTAAGTCTAGACTCTTCGTTTCTTGAGATATTTACACGAATTTCTCTTTAGGTTGTAGGTTTGTAGGTTGTAGGTTCTAGGTTTGTAGGTTGTAGGTAAGGTTAGGTCAGGTTAGGTTATGTTTTTGTTTTGTAGAACACTCTAGAGATTTTAATAGCAAAATTTGAGGAAATATCTCAAGAACTGGAGAGTGTAGAGACTTTTCACGAACGGTGGCAGCATGTGAGACGCCTGCTATAATAATACTGAGGTACCTGCCAAGGGAGGGCAAACTATGCTAAAGAAAAAATCAATTCACAAAGTATTTATTAACAGCAAGACAAAACCAACACTGTACAGTTAAAAAGGAAAATTGATAATTATATAAACTGCCTTGATCCGCCAAAACGGAATGCGGCAAACATGGCGCAGATGAAAAACATTACAAATACAGTTAAATCTTTCCAAAAACATCATAGTCTAAACAAGCTTGGAGGGAAGGTGAGCAAGACGTCGGATTACAAGTGTTATTTACGAGGAATTACCAAAAATACTCACATTAAAGGCACGAGCCCAATATTGTTCAACACAGCAGCTGTGGCGCACAAGAACAAGAATGATGAAATATCTGCATGCAGCCTAAAAAAACAACAGCGACTGTCAGCGTCAAAATGACGTCATTGGAAATCGATCGTTTTTCTTATATAACTGCTATAAGCGTAATATTCTTTTTTTCTAGCTAATTGTAAAATTTCTGACGGTTTTTAAATCAGATGTGAATGCTTACGAACAAACTAGCTTCAGGCATAGCAAATAATCTACAATAAAATTGTATGACGTAGCTATAACTGTATGGTATGACTTCAATTGCTAACCGTCTGCTTACTGTTGGGCTGTCGCATATTTACGTCTGGACAACGAGTTGCGGGGAAAAGTGCTGATTTTGTTGCAGTTTTAGGAGCCGGTGATTAGGCTGGATTTTTGGGTTACTTTTTCGTTCCGATTCATGTATTTCATAGTGTTTGGCTTTTGAATATTTTAGTTCTTTCAGATAAATATTACTTGCCTTACAACTTTTGTAAAAACGTTTCATTTTTTATAAGCCGACCTTCAGAGTCCTAAAAATACATCAGCACTACAATCATTGTAAACAAACAAATGGAGCACCACTTGGCTTTGTTCCAAGACCATTTTTTAGTTTATCTGGTGGTTTTCTTGCTCTTGTACGTCGTTTTGTTGCATGTTTTGAATCCCTTAAGATTGACTTATATCATATTTAAGAAGCATGTTGACTGAAAACAATCTGAAGTATCCAGCAGGCTGACAGAGGTGCAACAGAGGTCCTGACTACTGAGCAATATCAATATCAAGTTACAAGTTATGAAATTTTGGTTGATAAACGCAAGTTGATCGGGCTCATATATCAGCAAGAAAAAGTAAAATTAAAAGAGCTTATTGTCCAAAAACAAGCTATAATATTGCAGACCTTGGAGCAATACCAGTTGGGCAAACTAGACTTTTGGAATCAAAATATGGAGGCATCAATAATTTGATTCTGGTGGGAGGAGCCATGACCAAATATGGGCATGGAATCAATTTTTTGATTCATTTGGGTACACTTTTGACTTCAAATGAATCGTTACGGTTGAAAAAAGGCCCATGACGGTGAGATTTTTCTTTTAAAAGGTAGAAAAATGTGGTAGGTTTGCAAAAAGTGTTACCTCAAAGCTGAGAAATTGTCCCTTTGGCCTTGTGAATGGGAAAAAGACAGAGCCACTGTCCATCACGTAAAAGCTGTTTTGAGGAAATCACACTGTATGTTATTTTTGTATCATGAATCACATACTAACCAATCAGTATTTGTGTAAAATGGCAAAATGAAATTTTTAAACCCCTAATTATCATTGTTGTAGTGCTTTTATATTATTTATATGGTTTTTACCTGTTGCTTCAGTTTTTGTATTCTTGACATTTAAAAATTGTGAATTGTTATCAAATGTAGTGAAGGTAAAGTACAACAATGCTATAGGTATCAGTTGTGGTGCTGAGGATACCACTAAATGAGAATAATAGCAAGATAAATGCTGTATTCTTGCAAGTCATTGTTGCCTATCTGTTAACATTACCTGTGAATCAAAATAATGATTAGCCAGCTGAACGGGAATCAATATTATGATTATCTGTTTAAAGTGAATCAATTCCTTGATTGCCTTTGACTACCTATATAATTCAAATTGTTATGATAGGAGCAATATTATTTTGCTTAGGAGATAGTTCAAGCATTTCTGTTCAAGATCAGGCATGCTCCTTCTTGAAACACTCTCTTATTTTTATGTGATTAGTAAGTTAGAAATGGTCTGCATTTATGCCCAAAAGGAATCAATCTTTTGATGCCTCCATATTTTGATTCCAAAGGTCTAGTTTGCCCAACTGATACCTACTGAAGAGCACACTGAGCAGGATCATGCCAGAAAATGTTGACTGATGAGCGCATATTGATGTATTGGCATGAATATTGAATGATAACTTACAACAGCAAGATAAATTAGTGCTAATTATCAAGTTAAAATCTAGAATGAATGGACTTGGGCAGTTTTACTATGCTTAGATGCATGCAGATTGTAATGTGCATCAGGTACTCAGTGTCTGGCAAATGAAACATGCGATCATTCCATTGCTACTGGAGGAGAAAGCTTGGATCACTAAATCCACTTTATGTTGATTTTGATGTTAATCATCATCAATGTATTTCTTGAAAAAAGGATTGTAGTAAAATTGTCTGTGACAATCCATGCAACGATGTGATCATACTATGTGTTCATATTCATTCGTGATAGTTATTATTGGTCCAATATACAATTGCAAAGCTCTCAGTCTCAGCGTTTCTTCCTGTGGATGGCCAGCAGTGACTCAGAGCTTAGAAGTATTAGTTTTCTTCACAGGGCTGGGATAAAAAGTACTGAGGGTAATCTTCCACCAAGGAACTCTACTTTGACATGGTATGAGATGTAGGCACAAGTAGGTACTAGGTAGGTGCTCAGTTCCTATAGTCAGTAGTTGTGTATGTTTAGTCGGGTTAGCTTAGATCAGATTGTTAGTTTTTTAATTTGCCAAATGTCCATAAAAATGTGATCTGAGCAATGAGCATACCTGAACCTGACTAACCTGACAGCTGACCTAACCTCAATCATCACACATATTTGCAGCCTACCCAAGACCTGCATGGCAGTAGCACCCAGTTATAGGTAGGTACTCACCCTAACTCAATCTTACCTGCTAACCTTCAACTTGCCAAAAGTTAGCTCACATTGCCAAGCTGTGTCCAGGGAAACAGTCAACTGAGGAACTGGCTCATTGGGTGGCTGGTGTGAGTCTGTGCATTTAAAGTGTTTCTTCTCTGAAGCTGCTCTGCACTGCTGTATGTCATGTTAGATGCTCAGAAAATGTGGGAAATGATTACTTAGCGGTACTTTAGTGCTTTGTTAATACTCGAGACATGAACAAGTACAGATCCTGCAGGGTACAGCTATGAGTTAGGTGCTAGGTCATAGGTGAGTATGTTATGTGAATGTGGTGTTCCCTGTTTGACCGTAAGTATACAAACAAGCACAGGGTCACAGTTATATTCAATCTCCACATAAACATACAACAAAAACGGCCATATAGCCTAACTCCGAACACACCACAGATAACTTAAGCCTTTGAAGGCACAAAAATGTTTTGATTAACAGGACAGGTTTACAATATATCCTCTGTCCTTGGGGGATCTTGCTGCCAAGTTGAGGTATGATGACTGAACTTCAGGATTGATCAACCTTTTCTTAGCCACTGCTTATATACGAGAAAGACCAAATGCTTGTTTGTTTTGATTTACAGGACATGTATACAATATATCCTCTGTCCTTGGGGGATCTTGCTGCCACGTTGAGGTACCATGACTGAACTTCAGGATTGATCAACCTTTTCTTAGCCACTGCTTATAAACGAGAAAGACCAAATGCTTGTTTGTAAACTGCGTTGAAAATTTAATGATCCACCTTCAATTCTGAGATGAAGGCACAAATGAAATAGTTCCCTCTCCTTTTGGAACACACAAAGCAAAATATTTAATAAATTTTAGTGGATGGACAAGAGCAATTAGCATAGCTTTCTGATTCCCTCAAGTTAACTTCTGGCACTGTTGATTATACGGCCTTGCTGTTGATGAATTACACTGACGCTTATTCGCTTCATATTTTGTAACAAACGCGCTAAAGCTGCAATATAACAGCACTATATGCTTCTTGACAAAATGCAATAGTATTAAAAATTTAGCCCTGATAGCATTCATTCTTGGTGGAAACGTAATTACAAAATATTTTGTATTAGCTATTAAATTCCGGCCGAAAACAGTGCACGGTTTAAGAAAGAATCATTCCAATGACGGTCCATTCTTGCGGTCCTGAAATCGCCACTATTTCCGGCCTTTCCAACGCAACTCGTTGTCCAGACGTAAATATGCTGGGCTGTCGTAAAGAATCGCACCACAAGGCGCCAAAATGCTGTTCTTGCTGTACCGTAATCGGTGCTGGCTTAGCCCGCTTAGCCTGCATCAAGCCTGCATGACGTCATTCATTCGCGCAAGGTGAATCATGACGGCCAAATGTTTCGTCAGACCGACCATTCACCAACGGCCGTAGCAAGAGACCGAGGCCCGAAACTTCGAAGCGGCTTGATGTTGTGTGTGGACTGTGGTGTGTGACAAACCACTGGCGGATCCAGAAAGGCGGTCTTGGACGCTGCGGGGGCCTGGGTCCGGTGGGCATACCTATCCCCAAAAAAAGTTTCTCCAAATTCCAAAAACTCATCGGATTTCGATTCATTACTGCACTGATGTGCAGTTTAACCCTCATTAGGCCAGGGGCGTTGATGCAACTCCTCCCTTAACCCGGCACCGCCTGGGCTATTTCCGTACCCACGACAGCCTGGGGGGGGGGGGGGTCGGATCCGACCCCCCCCCCCGTTATCTCGAGAACCAATGGTCGTATCGAGCCCCGCGAGGCGACGTTCGAAAGGTCTCTACGAGACCTTCCCAATGCACTCTTAAGATTTTAAGATCGAGGTCAACTTTCGGGTCAAGGTCAGGTCAAAGGTCAAATTCAGGGGTTTTGCATGAATCGGCTTACGGACAGCGGAATCGATAGCTGCTGCTCGAAACTCACCAAAAATGACCTCAAAGGCCTAGTGAAGGTACCATGTGCGTATAGGGGTCATATTAACCCGCGCCCTGGTGTGGGTCTGAGCCACCTTCGCCCTGGTGGGGGGGGGCCAAAATGACCCCCCCGTCTAACTCGAAAACGAAGAGGGCTAGGAAGACGCGGAAAAAAGCAAACGAAAGCCCATAACAAGTACGTTCGAAAGTATTTCGGTCATTTTTTCGCTAAGGTCAATATTGAGGTCGCTAGAGGTCATCATAGGTCAAATTTCAGTGTTTTCGGTGTTGCCGGACATATTCCGCTGTAGCTCGGAAACTAGAAGAGCTAGAGAGCCGCGGAAAAAAGCAATCGATAGCTCTTTTCAAGCTCTTTCGCCAAGGTTCGTCAGATTTGACCTCAGCTCAACGGTTTGGCCTACAGAGGTCATGCAAGGTCAACTTGGCAAATTTCGTTGAAAATGTTTT